CCTCTATCTTGTGCCAATCTTATTGTCTCTGATACACCTACCCCCATTACCCCAGTCACTAAATCAATGCATCTCATCAAGGGTTTCCCTCTCTTGTGCTGTCCTTCCACCCTCTCAAGCATGAAATCCCTCTCCAAGTATGTCAAATGAACCTTCAGAATCCTTGTCTCCAAGGAGCAGTCTGGTTTCACCCTCTCAAGGATGAACCTGTTTTTTTCTCCTAGTAGTCCATGGAAATTCAATACTCATCTCCAGTACCACAGGTCAAAAGCATCAATTCTCTTTCTATATTCCCTAGTCATTGTCCACCTTTCTGACGCATAGCAAGTAATTGCAAAGACCATGGCTTGAATCAGGGGCACCTTAGTCTCCAGACTGACATCATTGCCTTTCAGTACTTTGGAGAGGTCTCTGACAGCAGACTTTCCCAATGCAATTGGTCTTTTAATTTCCTGGTTGCTAGTATGCAGAGTGTTGATTATGGAGCCAAACTGAAGCTGTTGAGAATCTTTCTTTTCTTGATGTTGAGCTTCAATCCATATTTAAAGCTGCAGTCTCAATTCTCCAAATATTCAATTCAGCTCATTGCCAAGGAGTTGGAATTGACTCATAGCTGACCTTCCAGCAGGTTTTCAGAGGCTATATTACCCAAAAGGAGATCACCCATCTTTCTCCCGTGGTGAGAGGTGCCACCTTGGTGTTAGCAGTGCAACTCTCTATGGAGTGTGTTTTAAACAAAAACTATCCTGTATTTTTAAATACTAATTAATTTCTTTACAAATGAATTCTATATTGACCCCTGGTATGTTATTGTTATGTGTGTTGAGTCAGAATCAAGTTGTAATGGACTTTCCAGGTGTCTTGAAAAGGAAAATCACACAGGAAGAATTTGCCCATCTTTCATCCCAAGGAGCCACTGGAGGATTTGAACAACCTGCCTTTGGGTTGATAGCACAACTTCTTAGCATTCAGCTGCCAGAGCTCCCTGCGTCTTGATATAGTTATTATTCTTTTCAGAATAACTTATTTTCTCAATGGGATATGTTGTAACTTGCATAATTTTTCTGATATCTCCATTCTCAGAAATCTAGCAGTATTTATATTCTTACTCTACAATTTTTGTATTTTAATCTCTGTTGTTTTGCATTGTTAAAAGTTTCTACCATATAGTCTATTATTTCCAAAATAGTATATTATTAACAGGAGCATGAGAATAGTTTTATTACTACTCATGGTATTATAATAATTGCCCTTTTGCTTATAATTTGCTTCTAAGATTATCTCTCTGCCTATGCTAGTAAAAATTTATAGCAATTGAACTCATCTTGCACTAATGAGCATAATATACTAGGAAAATGTAAAGACATAGGAAAGAAATTATTTTTCTCAATATCATCTTTATATTTGCAATGAGATACCTGGGGAGAAAAATTCCTTAAAGCATACTAAAATTATTTTATAATTTTTAACATTTTCCTGCTAAATAGTTTTTTAAGCATGTTACTTGATTCAGAGTTACATGAAAGGTGGTGTGAACTATCTTATAAATGATAAATTTCATGTCAAGCAATACTGCTTTTCAGATAATGATATCTTTGTGAGGATTTATAGTTCCCTGCCTTCATACTGGAGTTACTTCAGCTTTCTGTGATGCATTCCAACTAATCTGGAGGTTAAGACATTGCTTGATCACGGGTATATCTGATTGCTGCTCAGCTCTGGAATTCTTTATAAAATTCCAGAACATGGGCTAGAAATTGACTTAGGGAATCCAATAAACGTGCAAGTCTTGGCAGTCATCCAAGCTAAATTTATAGACTGGAAAAAAATATGGGCTTTCCATTGTTCTCTTTTTCACCTTTCTGAGATTTCTTTTGTGCGCATGTGAGTGTGTGAGTGCAAATTTATCATTTTGCTGACATTGAATTGGAAGTAACCATTGAGTGAATCCAGCTCAAGAATTTTTGCTTCAGATCTTCCCTGGTTCCTCCAAACTTTGACCCAAAACTGCACCAAGGGTGAATGTTTTCTCTCGGTAAGATGCTGAAGTCATAAAATAAGAGGTGGTTCTTGAAAATGAATGACACTAGCCCAACAACTCAAATGCACTTTGCCAGCCAGGTACAACTACTAAGTCCTCTTCTTTCTCTGGCTCAATGGGGACTTTCTTTTTGAAATAGGACCCAAAAAAGGTGTAATCATATGTATTATTTCTGTTCATCCTATGTAATGCTATTGAGAGCATAATAACAAGCTCAACCAATTCGAATTGGCTCCACGATATTTTACGTGTACCGTCTGCTCTGTAGCACAGGGAGGTCCAAGCAGGGTGCCTCCATATCTGATCATTGAAAATTTGTCTTGTTCTTACAGAATGGATTCGCTGTGGTCCGGCCCCCAGGCCATCATGCTGAAGAATCCACAGCCATGTAAGTATCAGGGACAGTTGCCCATCTCCAAGCACCACAATTCCTGGCAGTCACCTGCCCCATGCATATCTCTGAAGCCTCTAATTGTTAGCAGATGGACTGAAAAAATCTTGCAAGGTACTCCCAGAAGCAGATTTATGGCTTCAGAGATCATATAGCATTTTTTAAAATGCTCTGAACATTATTTATAATGGTTTTCCTGGCTGATTTGCTTTCTTATTTCTCTGTTCTTCTCTATTCCACAGGGGGTTCTGCTTTTTTAATTCAGTTGCAATTACCGCCAAATACTTGAGAGACCAACTAAATATAAGCAAGATATTGATTGTAGATCTGGTATGTATACCTGGCCAGAGCTGCATTTTTTAGCAACTCTAGATAAAAGGAGTGAATTTGTATTTCTCTGTCAGGCTGTCTCACTTTTAGCACTTACAAACAACTTAAGGGTGCGTTTCCTTTGAATGTGGAAACTCATTAAATTCAAGATTGCAGTTCTGAAACCATAAACCTTCACGTTTCACTTTCATGGTGTTAACTGCGATTTAATGAGAAGAAGGAGCAGATCAGGGCAACTTTTATGATGCTTAAATGAATTGATACTTCCACAGTTAAAATAACCCAAAAGAACCTGCATTTACTTTTCCCTACGGAATATGGATTTTAAATAGTCAGATGTGCTGGAAAGAATGCTGTTGCTTTGGTTACCAAATTGGCCACTTCCCCTGGTTAGCAATCATGTTGCTTGTTGTGCAACAGTGGTATTATTAAAACAAGTCAGCATGTCATTCTCTCTGAAAAGATCTCACAATGGTGGATGCCAGTTTGGGATGACTCCCTGCAGGAACCCTGAGTGATTAAAAGTCAGAGGCTCCCGATTAGTCTTGCATTTTAACGTGATGCACTCTTACAAAACAGAGTTATAATTTGTTTAACAAATGGTTTGTTTAAATACAGATGACACTTGGCATGTTGTCTATAGTATATTCATGAGTAATGAGCTGGAGATCTGCCCCATACAAAAAGGACCAACCCAGAAAAGGGCGAAGGAGCGCTGAATGGTGATTTATGAGTCCAGCTTTCAGTTTGCCTCCAGTTCACGAGGAGGTGTAATAGGTTGTCTGACAAAGCATAGACAGGAAATGAACCCTGGCATCCAAACCGAACCTGCGACATCTGCACTTAATTAATTTTTGCAGGTGATAAAAGATTTAAAGGCAAAATATGTTAAAGGCTTGGGGTTTTTTTTTTGAAGTGCAAGCTTTAATAGTCTAAATCTTGTTCATATCTGCACTTATAATTAAATCTTATTGGGAAGTCATGGCCTCACCATCTAACCCTTCAGTTCCCCTCTGCAATCACACCAGAGGGTAAGGAGCACAAACAGAGCCATCTGAAGAAATAGTTTGTTACATTTAAATGGAGAGTAAAGGAAAGAAAAACTGATTTCTGATGTGTGTCAGAATGTTATTCACACCCTGCTTTAAAGCTTTCCTGTGAGCAGTCTGGTGTATATTTGTATATCCCTTTTTGTGTGTGTAATTTGCAAAGATGCTGAAGTTTCACATGCAGGTCATAGTTCACCATTAAAGAAGTGTTGAAGGCCTCAGTGTCGTACAGGAGCAAGGTCTCGAAATTTTACAAACATGAAAACATCAGTACCTATTTTCCCAACACTAGTACTTATTTTCCCATACATACAAAATGACATTTTAAATAAACTCATAATCACTATTTTGGATGATTTATAAGATACTATGTGGGGTTTTTTTGATACTATGTTATTTTAAAAATATCAACTGAGTAACATTTTTAGTGTGTTATTAATTATTTAAGGTTTTTGCTAGAAAGATAAACGGAAAACTTTAAAAAAGGATAACAGCGAGATAAAAATTGTGGGAAAAACGTTATCCAAGATTTTGTTGAAATGTGTGGCAACAGGATTTGTAAAGGGTGTGCAGCCAGTCTTCAAGAAATTTTTTTGGGCTTTTGCTTAGTATCTCTTCTAATGTGTATTTTATGGTTCTATGAAGATAATCTATAACATTAAAAGCCTTCTTCAAAAGTATGCTGTAATTTCCAACTGCAAAAGTAATGAATTGTGCAATAGACTTAAAAGCTCAAAAGCCTACCTGTGTCACGTGGACACTTTGCACCTCAGAGGATCTGTGTGTCACATTTTGGGTTGGTACATTCATCTCAGAACAACTAGACTGCTGGAGAATATTTGATGATGCTATTTATTAAATAAGCTTGTTGGTAGCTCTGAGGAGGTTCTGCAAGCTTACTGGCCTTTGATTGTGAATGTATTCCATTATCCAATCATAAAGAATACTGATTTCCCAGCAGGCTGTAGCCGACGAGATGTTTTAGTTTCAAATTCTCTAAATATATGAAGCTCTATCCAAAGGGTTGCCTGTGAGATCACCACCAGCTCACATAGACTCACTTACAAGTCTTCCAAATTCTGCAGCTGCAGCACTACTTTGAGGAAATTCCCCTGTTTCTTCCAGCTGCCGAGAAGGAAGTTTTAAAGTGCCACGTGGCGCTGAGACATCCGTTCTCCCTGGCTGACAGTTCTATTCTGTGAATTAGCAAAAGAGATGATGGTTTTAATGGCTAAAGAAATTCGTTAGCAAAAGAGATGATGGTTTTAATGGCTAAAGAAATTCGTTCCTGCATATCTGATGTTCTTGTTATTAGCTAGTGGGTGTGCATAGCTCTAAAAAATCTTGGACTGACAGAAAGGAGATAAACTCCACTGTCCAGCAATGAGTTAAATATTTTTATGTCTCATGAGTAGAGGGAGCTCTGGTGGAACACTCCATAGGGAGCTGCACTGTTAACCCAAAGGCCAGACCTCCTCAGGGTGGTTCAAATCTATCAGCAGCTCCATGAGGAAAAGAGGATCAACCCCCACTTTGCAGTTACAGGTTCAGAAGCCCGCTGGAAGGTCAGCTGTGTATTTGTGACTACTCAATGACAATGAGTTTTATAAGAGTAAATAGAGACATTTCATGAGTGGGGTGCTAGTGTCCTAGGGCATAACATGTCCTACTAACCAAAAGGTCAGTGGTTCAAATCTGCTCCATAACAGAAAAATAGGTAGTCTCCTTCAGTAAAAATGTATTATCTTGGAAACCCAGGGGAGAGTCAATATGAGTCAGAATCCACTGGACAGCTGTGGGTTTTGTTTTGTTTTCTTTTTGCTAAGTGAACACTTGGCAGCTGAACCTGCCACCATTGACCTGGAAGGAGGTCCCAGTGATCTAATTCTGTTAAGATTACAGCCATGAAATTCTATGGAGGTCAGTTCTAGGCTGTCACACATGGAATCACCAAGAGTTAGAACTGACTCAATGGCCACAGGTTTGAGATATGTAGGAAACTAGAGTTTTAATTCACCTTCTACTTGGTGTAACTGCCAATAAGAATAAGCTGAATATTTTTAGGCAGACGTAATTCCCTTTGATTTCAAGAGCCCATTTATTCCAGTTTTCCTTCACAGACGATTCCAAAGACATTCCTATTGATGAGGAGAAGGAGCAGGTCAACAACTTGCTTCTCAAATGAGAGGAAACCAGCCATTGCACATCTGTGTTCAGGGAGTCACGCCCACAGGAGCAGATTACCTATACGATTCGGGTAGTTTTGTGGAATGTGATCTCTTTTTCGTAATAATATCTTTCTAGGCTTTCCATCCTAAATATAAGGGGCTCTGGTGCCCTACTAGGTGAGGAGTTGCAATACGAACTCTCAAAGGCAAGTGGTGTGAAAACATGAGCTACTCCTCAGGAGGAAGAGCGGCAATCCCCTCCCGTGCTGTGTACAGCCCCTGAAACCGCCCTGGAGCATCGGTTATGAGTCAGTTCCCACTCAGTGAGCAGCATAGTGAGAGAGGTCTGCAGCAAATATCTTTTACATTTTTGGCAATTCTAGTTTTGTTGAGGTACATTTAGAATTTTGTCGCAAATTTTCTTATGAATGATTTTTAGTAACTACTTTAACCAGTAGAGTGTATGACTTATCCAAAGCAATAATAATAGGATAATAATATATTAAAGCATGTGTTTCAAATCTCCCAACTGCTCTGTGGGAGAAGAATGAAGAGTCTCCTCCAGTGCGATTAAATGCCTCTGAAAATCCACAGGAGGACCAGCTATGGGTCGGTTCTGACTTAATGGCAAACAATAATAACATATTATTAGCTCTATATTCTTGAATTCCATGGACTGCCAAAAGAACAGATAGATATGTCTTGGAGAAGGTGTAGCCAGAATGCTCCTGGGAGGTACAGATAATAAAGCTTCATCTCACATACTTTGGGCATGTTTCCAGGACAGCTTATTTCTTGGAAAGGGATATCATGCATGAAAAGGTGGAGGCTCGACAAAATAGAGGAAGACTCTCAACTAGATGGATTGACACAGTGACACAGCAGTCAAATCAAGTGTGTCAGAAACTGTGAGGATGGCACAGGACAGGACAGGGTTCAGATCTATTCATAGGGTTGCTATGAGTCATGCTTGACTCAACAGCACCTACCAAAAAACAACATGTATAAAATCTGTTTTAGAGTAAACTGCTAAAATAACTATTTTAAAATAACTATCACTATTTCTAAGCATATCTTACATAGCCATTTTGGAATCTTTGAATAATTCTGTTTATTTAATTTCTACAGTAATTTATCACAAACTTTTTGTTCTCTCAGTCTAGTGTAAATTCTTAGGGGTTCTATTGTTTCACTGTTAAGAAGAAATACTATTCAGAGGGTACTTGGTATGACTCTTTTACAGCAAAAATAATGAAGTTGAAAAAGTTATCAAGGTTCTGGATCACACCATAACACATATTAGCATTTCCCTTTGTTGCTTAATATTTCATTATTGTAAATGTATAATCCATTAGAATGAATTTGTGCATTTTAATAAATAATATTCATTGGAAATCTGATATGTGCTTCTTGCACTATGGATAAAAGGATATGCTGTGGACATGTTGCTAACTGAGGCTAGGGGAGGGATTTTATGCTTGGAAATATGAAGGGTTAGTGAAAGCGAGGATGAATTTTGATGAGATGGATTGACACAGTGATTGCAGCAATGGATTCTAGTGTGTCAGAGATGATGAGAATAGGACAGAGTTCAGATTTGTTGTTCATAGGGTTGCTATGAGCCATTCTTGACTTGATGGCAATTAACATCAGCAACATATTAAGAAATTTAATCACAAATGAATTTTTATATAAGACAAGCTAACTTCTTTTATTTAATGTTACTGAATTATTTTTACCAAGTCTCTAAAGAACCAAAAGCATTCAGAACAACTTTGTTCTGCTTTGCAGTTATGAATTTATTATCCTCAGTGCAATTTTTAAAAACAATACTGATTAAAAATTTATTATCTGAGGAGAAGAAAGGCAAACACCTTCCATTGATTTTCCAAATATTATTGTTCTTCTTCATTCTCTAGAGATCCCACAGCAACTTCAAGAGATAGTAAATCTTAAATTGTTTTCAGTTTGGTCCACACAAAGGAAAATAATTTTGCTATGTATTTCATTTACTTTGAGCATTCAGAAATGAGAGAATTAGTGACAATGCTTACTTTTCCAATATTTGATAACTTCCTAAGTAATGTTGGATATGTTCGAAATGTATAAAAAGGGAAAAGATTTGTTGGTGTCTGCACTTTAAGTAGCTATCACAATGCTGGCTTCAAGAGCCCTCCAAAAGGAGACTTTGATTGCCCTTCTGCATGAAACAGTGATGACTGACAGTTTCATGTCACCAATTTGCTAAGAGAATGAGTGTTAACAGATTTAAATACAAGTTATAGTGTAATGGGTAAGAGTTTGACTTTTGGAGTAAAAGGTGGATTCAAGGCACTCATTGTGTAATCTTAATATTACCTTAACTCTCTGATCGCCTTGTTGGTAAGGAGTTGTGATATCAACACAAAGGCAAGTAGTTCAAATCCACATCTCGGAAGAAAGATGGGCAATCTCTTCCCATTTTGGAGAATTTCCAGTTTCTGAAGCCCACTGGAGGATATCATGAGTTAGTTCCCCCCTCATGCTGTTGAGTTTTGAACCACTCTTGGGCTCCGTTTACTTATCTTTTAAGTTAGGGTATAATGCCATACTCCCAATATCGTTATTAACAAATTCATGCAAGAGGTTTAATATACTACTTGACTTAAACATTATAGGAATTGTTAGTGAAATTAGTGTACTTCTTAATGATATAATAAAATAATGAATTACAAACTTTTTCGTTTTTTTAGTAACATTACCAAAAAGTACAGATACACTATAGATTCAGCAGTACTAGTCTGTTAAATACCATTATATAGATTATTCACTTTAAAATAGTGGCCCATTTTACATTTGATCAGGTGTTCCCAATGCCATCAAGTAGATTCTGACTTGCAGCAACCCTTTGACACGCAGCACAACTTCATACATTTTGCAAAGCTGAAAATCTTTACAGACTTAGAAAGCCACTCGTTTATTGCATGAACTGGTGGATTCAAACCACTAACCCTTTAGTTAGCAGCTAAATGCTTAATCATTGCTCATTCAGAAGACACTAGGAGAATATGAGTTTATTTTCTTAGGCTCTGAGGTCTATTAGAGCAGTTACTTTAAAAATTACATTTACTTTATTTTCTGTTATACAGCTTGTATATAGATTTCCCCATCTTTTGTGTCATTCTTCCATATGACTTTTTTCCAGAAATGACAAGATGATTAAAAAAACCCAACAATTGTGGAATTTTGAAGCATCAATTTTTCATATAGAAAGGTCCTTTTTGTTTTGTTTTGTTTTGATTTGCTCCTCCATTTTAATAGCAAAAGCTTTTATGTCTCTTTGTTAAATGAGATAGGAGTGGTATGAGAAAAGAAGAAAGGACAGGAAAGAGGCTGGGAAGAGAAGCCATGATATAACATTAAATCCAGGCAGATTGGACAAGATTGTATAAAGCCCCATGCCATCTCTCTTTGGCCCAACTGGTTTAATAGCTAATGAGCTCATGCTCCTGTGTCTTCAACCTTTGCCATCATGATTTTCCCCAAATGAAGTATGAAGCCCTTTTTGCATCTGGCTTCTCTTTTGAAGTGATTCTAACTGCTGAGGGATTGCTAACTGAATTGAATGCCTCAAGAAAGCCAATTTACTCAGCTGGTTGCAAAGCCTTTGACCTCAATGGTGGGACTTGGCAAATCAGTGCATACACGTATGTTCAGTGTTCTGTCAAGAATTGTGAAAATGTTCTCTGAGCCATAGATCCTTCTGCAAAATACTAGTTTGTAGTTTAAACATTAGTCTTTCTTCAGAGGCCAATGAGGCTAGTTAATTAAGCCTGAGGGGTTATGAACTGTTGGCAGTTAATAAGTCATAAAATTCCTCCATAAAACAGGATGCAAGATTCCATCACTGAAGCAAAGAGTACAAAGAGCCGGTGTATAAATATCTAATTGTACCAAAGGACTGGGCTTTCTCAATGACTGCTCATCTGGAGTCTCCAGGGCATGCTCGCTGTGGTTTCCTGATTTTTTAGAAGCCAGTTTAAAAAATGAGTGCATTAAAGGGTAATTTGCCTGAAAGTTCAGGAAGTAAAGGGGGTGGTGTGGAAGCAGGCAGAAAGGGAGAAAGAAAAAGGGACATAGTGAGACAAAATGGGGAGGCGGGTGGGGTAGAAAGACAGGCAACTAGAAATCAGAAAGGTTGTCTCCACATGGACTCAGACATGACTGTATTTGTCATCTGTTTTCTTTTCTCTGTAGGATGTTCACCATGGAAACGGTACACAGCAGGCCTTTTATGCTGACCCCAGCATCCTGTATATTTCACTCCATCGCTATGATGAAGGGAACTTTTTCCCGGGCAGTGGAGCCCCAAATGAGGTTCGGTTTATTTCTTTAGAGCCCCACTTTTATTTGTATCTTTCAGGTAATTGCATTGCATGATTACCCCTAATTTTCTTGTCCTTTGCTGGTGTTTTAAATTACACGAGATTACTGAACTGTCCCTCGGGACCACGAGCCAGTGGGGAACAAGTGCATAACCCAGAGCCCCGGTTGTCAAGCGAGGTTGGGCTGATTTGACATGTTGTTTGATGTTTATTTCAAGAGCTCACATGTGTTTGTTTCCCCCTCTCCTTGCTTTCTTCCCTCTGACTGCTTCTCTACCCACGCTTGTGCATTTCCCTCCTTGCAGGTTGGAACTGGCCTCGGAGAAGGCTATAATATCAATATTGCCTGGACAGGTGGCCTCGATCCGCCCATGGGAGATATTGAGTACCTTGAAGCATTCAGGTTGGTTGTTCTTTTTTTTAATTTTATTTCATTATTTTTTGTGTGTACCGTCAAATCAGATCTGACTGGTATAGGAAGAGATTGCTCCTCCTTCTCCAGCAGAGCATCTGGTGGATTCGAACCGTGCACTTCTGAGATTGCAGTGCAGCTTCCTGCCACTAGGCCACCAGAGCTCGCTAGGTTGGTTGTTCTTTATCTCAGAAAGTGACAACTTGGAACATGTACCAAACATGAAACCACATCAAATCCAAAAGTGAAATACACATTTCAACAAAAGAGGTGATCTAAAGGATATTAAAACAGATGTCTGCTTTTCATAAATATTGCTCCATAAGTACTTATGAAATATGGGCAAAGGGATGAGAATAAGCCCCCACATCTATCAAGTTAGTTACAAAGATGTATTGGTCAATGACCTACATATACTCTGTTCTGTCTTCCTTGGAAAGATTTTTATGGTTAAAGAACTTGGGAATATTCTACCTATGATAAGATCTGGTGGCCTAGAAAGTAGAGTTGAGCTGCCATATCAAAAGTTGTTG